TTTTTTTTTTTTTTTTTTTTTTTTTTGAGCCAGGTTCATGCGTAATTCCCCTGGCTGGCCTCAAATTTGTGATTCCTCACAAATTTGCCTCAACTTCCAGAGTAGCTAAAACTGTAGGAATACAGCATCACGTCCAGCTATAGAATGCTTTAAAAGAATGCCTTGAGGTCTGGGGAGACAGCTCAGTGGTAGAGCATTCCCACCAGAAAAAGAAAGAAAGAAAGGCAAGCAGACCAACTAGCCAGCCAGCCATAGTAGCCAATCTGATTTTAAAGAAAAGTTCCAAATACAATACTCTTTCCAGTAGTAATAGGTGCTTATGAATTCTGCTATATCCTAAGAACTACAAAAGTGAGGAAAAGGACTTTTTTTTTTTATACCGGGGATTGAACTCTGGTCCTTGCGCTTATAAGGCAGGTGGCAGAACCACTGCGCTAAATCTCCGGCCCTAGGAAAAGGACTTTTTATATAGAAAAATGTGGCTAAGGTACACAGTGTACTCTTTCACTGTACTAGAGACTAAATCTAGGGCGTTAGCATTGAGTATGTTACATCCTTAGACCTTTCTTAGAGTAAGGTACACACCTGTAATCCCAATACTTACAGGCTGAAGCAGGAGGACCACCATGAATTCGAGATCAACATGGGCTACATAGTGAATTCAAGGTCAGCCTGAACTATCTCAAAAACAAACAGGCAGGATCTTTCTAAGTTAGCCAAAGTAGGCTGCAAATTCTGATCCTCCTGTCTCAGAATCCCCAAAGTGCTGGAATGATAGATGAGTATGGCTAAGAATCTTGAAGGATTTAGCCAGTGGCACCATGCCTGCCTTGCAAGCTCAAGGTCCTGAGTTCGATCCCCGTTACCCCCCCCAATCTTGAATTTGAAATATTGATGCAGTTAACCAATTCTGCATGTAACTACTGCATATATCATTTCATATTAGTATGTAGATTTCTTTTACGTATATGTGGTACTGGGGATTGAACAAGGCAGGACTTTCTCATAAGGTCCATTTCACAGACCTTTTAATTTTGAGACAGTCTTCTGAAATTGCCTATGTTGAGTTTGAACTTGTCATCCTGCTTCAGCTTCCCAAAGTGCTGGGATTACAGGTGTGCACCACCATACCCAGGTCAAAGTGTGGCTGTCTGTAGATGGAATGATTTTGGTGTTGAAAGACATAAAAGCATTATGTCTTCCAAAAAGGGAAGGGACTACACTAAGACCATTCAGTATGTGTGTGGGGGACTGTCTAAAGAATTTATGAGCCAGGGCCAGGGATTTGGCTTAGTGGGCACTGCACCTGCCTTGCAAGTGCAAGCTCCTGTGTTCAATCCCCAGTACCCAAAAAGGGGGGGGCGGTTCGTGAGCCATGGGTGGTAGTGGCTAAGGGTCACAAACTGAAGCTAACCTGGGCAAGGTAACAAGATCCTGTCTCAAAGTTTAAAATAATTTTTAAAAGCAGGGTTGAGATATTGCTCAGAGTGAGGGTCTGGGTTCAATCCCCGCTACTACAAAAAACTTTTTTAGTTCTTGTTTGTTTGTTTGTTTGTTTTTGTACTGGGGATTCAACTCAGGACGTTTCGCTTGCAAGGCAGACAGCAGAACCACTGAGCTAAATCCCCAGCCTGCAAAAAACTTTTTAAAGAAAATAGTAGTTGTGGTGGTACCTGTCTGTAGTACCAGCTTTTAGGAGGCTAAGACAGAAGGGTTAGAAATTGGGGGCTAGCGCCTGGGCTATCTAGTGTTTAAGGCTGGCCTGGACTACATCTTGAGGCGCTGTCTGAAGAAACAAACAAAAAATCCAAAACAAAAAGTGTATGAGAAAACAAAGTGAACAAAATTGTTTTTATTGCATCTTAATTCTGATTCTGAAACTATATGTTAATTTCAGCTAGTGTAATTTTTTTTTTTTTT